GTTGCGTTTAATCAGCTAATTGAGTAGTGGATGGAATTTCCATTGACTACTCAATTATTCGATAAGGGGGGAAACTGTAGGAGCTAACCTGCTGCACCTCTGCTTTTTAATGTATTAAGAGCCGACAGCTGATTCCCCGCTCATGCTTGGTCCTCCGTGCTGTGCCTCTGCTTTCTAAATGTATTAAGAGCCTGGGGCTCTAAATACATTTAAAAAAGCAGAGGTGCAGTATCTGGGATCAGGCACGAGCTGGGACAGCTGACTCTCCTGTCTCCCCTCCACAGCGGAAACAGTGCTTTTAAGCTGGTTAGTGTGATAGAGGCAGTGGAGCAGGGGAAGCACATGCTTATCAGGTAGTCGCTTACATCCCTATCCTGTGTATGGACCTTATGAATGATGTAGAAAAGTTGAATAAGGAAGTATTATTTACTCCCTCAACTAACACAAGAACTGGGAGTCAATCAATGAAATGAATAGGCAGCATATTTAAAACAAAAGAAAGCCCCTTTTGCTCAAGGGGCTTTTGCGCAAGAAGGAGCAGTCCACACTGCTCCTTCTTGCGCAAACAACCCCTTTTGTGCAAGAGCCGTTCTGCCTGAAAATAAGCGGAAAAGCCCCTTGCGCAAAAGCCCTTTGCACAAAATGGTGGCTTATTAAGTTTGCAAATGAGGTGTGGCAATATTCACTGCCATGCCTCATTTGCATATGTTCTTGCACAAGAGAGCGCAATGTAGACGTAGCCTAACAGAGTTTAAAAAAAGAACGAAATAAGTTAATGGAGAATAGATTCCTCAATGGCTGCTAGCCAGTATGGGAAGAGATCCAACACCATATTCTGAATGTTGGAAAAGCTGAAAATGGGCTGGAAATGGGCAATGGAATGAATCTCTCAATAATTGCCTATTGTGTTCATTTCTTCTGAAGCACCTGGCATTTGCTACTGTCAGAAGACAGGATACTGGGCTAGATGGACCTTTTGTATGACCCAGTATTGCCATTCTGATGTTCTTATGTAGAACCTAGATGTATCTGCCCCTGCTGCAACCCACTAGACCCCACTTCCTTCCCAGAGCCAAGATAAAACTCAGGAGTTCTGAGACTCTATCACTCTCTTTCCGCAGCTAGTAAAAATATCTATTAAAATGTTAAACCTAATACAATTTTAAATCCAACAGTGTACCTTACATTACTTGCCACAAGATGTCAGAGCACATTATTATTATTAGAGCTGAGTGGATTGAATATTTGTCCTTTTCTATAGAAATTAGATACAGGGCTCTTGTCAGCTAACTGCTAAATTATCTGAAAGAAAACTAGAATTTCAAAGTGCCTAAAATGCTCCTGGAATCATGGTTAAAGTTGCACCTCCCCAAAATCTGAAATGGCACCCCGATTGGTGTGAATAATTATTTTGTAATCTTAACCTTGGTTTTAGGACAGAGGACAAAGGAGAGATCTTTTTAAACATTATTTCTAGAATTGTACTTACATGTGACAGGAACATTTCAATTTACTCCACCTGTACGTAACAATAGTGTGTTCTTCCTCAGGAAGCCTATGACACATTCCTCATAAATTCACTGGGGTGATTAAGACCAAAACTCCTCCTCTTCTTCCTGTGAGGCTGGTCCAAGAGAAAAATGATCTAATTAAAAATAATTGTGGGTGTAAGAAAACTAACAACCTTAGGAGGTTCCTGAATAATAGCGAAGGTCCAGCTGCATGATAGCAGCTACATAACCTGACACTAAAACTGTGTTACTCAAACTCATCCTCCAAAGTTCATCTCTGTGAAACTCCACCCTTTTCTGTACTTCTGCTCCCACTTCTTAGAGCAGAGGCTCTCAACCTTTCTACACTACTATAACCCTTTCAGGAGTCTGCTTTGCCTTGTGCACCTTCACCTCATATAAAATTTACTTGCTTACAAAATCATATGTAAGTATCACAGCACATTCACTGAAAAATTGTTTACTTTCTCATTTTTACCATACTATAAATCAATTGGAATATAGATATTGTGTAGTATATAGAGCAGTATAAACATGTAATTGTATGAAATTTTAGTTTATACTGACTTCATTAGTGCATTTTATGTAGCCTATTTTAAAACCAGACAAGTATCTAGATGAACTGATGTATCCCCTGGAAGACCTCTACCTTCCCACAATGGTACATGAAACATGGTTGAGAACCACTGATTTAGAGGACACCTCTGTGTTGCAGGAAGTGATTTTGATGCTCACTAGATGGCAGTCTGTAATTCTGAAGGCTGTCTCCTCTAACCAAGGGCTAACTTACTGGAACAGAGGTGTGTTAGGTGGAGCTATCCTGCTTGAGCTGTTGTCTCTTGGATGCATAAAATGGGGTAGAGAGCACGACCCCCCCATATCACCTCTGGGAGGAACTTCCAGACCCATCTTCCTGGGCCAACGCAACCAATCCTGGTGATTCCTTAGGTTCTGGGGCCACACAAGGGTGGGGAGCATGTGCCTTCTCAGTCCTGGCCTGAGAAAACTCACAACACTAGTGTCTTCTTGGAGCACCCAAATGCCACAGCAGGGGATGGGGTGTAGGAAATGTTCCAACCTTCAGCTGATCAGAGGTCAGGGAACCTGCTCTTGATGCCTCCCTGCCCTGTGCCCAGCCAGGGGCAACCACACTCTCTTATGTGTGGGAGAGGGCTCTGCCCTTTCATTGTACCCCACTCCCACTTGTTGTTCACATTTGTTAGCAGCCAAGCCCTGGTGGGGAACAGGAGGGAGCTGCTTCTTATGCTGGTTGAAGGTGACTGCTCCAGGTCACTGACTGCAGCATTACCACTGCCTGAGAGCCTGGCTAGGAAGGCAGCAGCGGCTCACCCACTATGTTCCCTGCGCCTATCCCGCTGCCAGGGAAAGGGGTTGAGCAACCTTGGAACATACCAGGGAGAAGGGAGCTCTGGCTTACTTGGCCCCTATCCTCTGGCAGCCAGGCCCAAGCAGGGAGCGGAGGGGGTGCATGCCTCCCCAGCTGCATTCTTACAGGCAGTCATCCTCTTGTACAAAGTTGTGGCCACTTTTAGGCAGCCTGAGAAGTGGCTGATCCTGCTGCTCATGTAGGAGGCTGCCAGAAATAGGAGCTGAACATATTAGGGCGGTAGACGCAGCAGCAGAAGTACAGAACCCCTTCTTCCTATTCCATGGGCTGAGCAGAAATAAAAAGGTGGCAGTTGATGTAAAGTCTTGCTACATCGTTGCCTATTTTTGGTGAGATATAAAACTACAGTCCTGAATATGTGTAGTGATTCCCCAACTGCGAAGTTATTTACACTGCCTGTCTAAATCCTCCAGCACTTCCAGCTAAAGAGAGTAGTCACTTCCTGCTCTAAGTGTGCCAGTGTCTTGTTGGTAAATGGCACCTCAGCTCTGCCAGTGTGTGGCTGCATGTCAGTGGTCTAGTGTTGCCAGCTCCCATGATATTGTCATAAGTCTAGTGATAATTATTGTTTTCCTGAAAGCCCCACTGCCTTTAGCAGTCAGGAGGATGTGTGATGATTTCAGCCTCCATTCTTCAAGAAAAGGGAAGTTTCTAGCCCTTGTGGCGTTTAAAATGTGACCTTTAGGATGCACCCCAAAGGCTCTAAAAGCAGAAGGCAAATAAAGACTCCCAGCAAATTTATTATTTTACACAGTTTCGTGCTTTTGGGTGAGTCTGATTCATGATGTTTGAACATTTGGGACTGGCCATACTGAATACCTCCCATGGGAGGTGAGGGGGTTGTGAGGCTTCATTAGGAATCGGTATTGAGAGGTTCGGCTGGAGCTCTGGGAGTCAAGAGGCTGGAGGAGCTGCTGGCTTTTGCCATTCAGTCTGAGGCTGTGCAGACCTTCTACTGTGCAGACCCAGGCAGGAGCTCTACGGGCTTATTTGGCCCCATGGAGAGGCTGGATCCTCCTTTTTTGTATGACACGGGGAAGGGCATTGCGAAAACTCTTGCTGAGAGCCACTTCTCAGGCTGCCCGGCATCTGGGCGGAGACTTCTGGTAACTGGGTCAGCAAAAGCCAAGAACACTCTGCACTCTCCACTGTGCAAACAAGAAGGGGCTAGCCAGCCTCATGTTCACAGTGACCCCAGGCTACGTTCCCTCCTCTCCCCTGCACGGGGGCATGTCAGACATACCCCCTCATCCGCTCCCTTGCACTGCACGGGGTGGGGGGTCAGAAATACCCCCTCCCATGAGCTCCCTTCACTGCACACAGTGTGTGGAGGGGGTCAGAA